TACGTGAGTGTGTTGAAGAAAAAAGGGAAAAGAAGGAATAAAAATGAATGGAAATGTTGCAAAAGATCCAAAATCAAACATGACGTCAACCTCCCTGGATAAAAGCGAAAAACAAAATCTGTTGCCATCATTGAACGGACCTGCACCTGTCATAGTAAAAGTGTCCAAGAGTACGAGTTCTTCGTTTAAAAGCAGGTAAAACTGATATTTCAACTATATTTAACGTGATGAGTTATACAACAACGTAGTTGGCTTCCATATTAAGAAACCACGGGATTAGCTATGCATTAATGATCATACTGAATTAATAACATACCGACATTTGGAATCCACTTGTGAATCTGTGCAGGTACATTTACGGCTGACAAGTTAATTCGACTAATATATTTCTGGTTATAACTGGTTACCCCGAGCACTCGATTATTCAAGTGACACAATTGCAAAAACAATTAATGAATAGACAAATATTTCACAAGCAGTAATCTATTATACGGAGAATCAAGTACATCATAATGCCGTAAATCAGTCCAATTTCTGTTTTATAAAATATTCTGCGTTTATTGTTACAAGAGATTCATTACTTATATTTTTTCAAATCTTGAAAACGTATCGAGATAGAAGATAAGACTATAATTTAATTAATGGCAAAAGAAATAATATTGTACTGAGATAATATTGTGCTTTTAAAAGTTGAAGTGCGTAACTGAATCTAAACTCGCGGAATGACTCACAGATATGATCTTCAATCGGCCATATTTAAAATTTATGAAGTCTCAGACCATTTAAAAAATGAAAATATCTTGTTTCTGTAAATTGATATGAAAATCTCCGAACTCCTTTACATAATAATTTAGTAATTAATAATATTAGTAAATTAATCATTTCAAATTGTAGGTTAGGTTAGAAACATCTTTTTAAAATTCTTGAAACGACCTACTACTTATTCATTCCTTCTAGGGAATTTTCATCTCTGCACACAAGTTGAAAATTATTCAGATTTTAAGACTTATTCAGACAATATGATAATTATTTAGAATTAGAAAGTTGTGCTCGCTACCTCAAATGCTCATTTTTAAAAAAAAATGATTAGCTTTCTTTAAAAAGAAATAAAATTCCCGTTGTTAGAAAATGTTGCCAGGATTTTCAAATGATTCACAAAAATAATTGATATGAATAAGTTGAATAAGAAGAAGGGGAAGAACATGGAAAGAAGAAAAAACAAAGGCAGATCTTAATAACAAATTAGCGTTTCAATATTTCAATTAGCATTTAAATCAAACATCTAAATAATTATTGAATAAAATATTGATTAATAATTAATGTTTCATGAAATTAGAATGCTGGATATTAGGTATGGAACTGAAAAGAAGATTAACAGGAAGTGATTGCC